GACTTAGCTTGTACGTATATTGGGGTTTAGAATTAATATAGTACGTATATATTATCTTAATAAACAGAGCTTAGAACATCACGAGAATATAACATCTATATAACTAATGGGTACCCATGGTAGGGTAACAGGTAATACCCTAGCCCTACCCATTTGTGTAAGGGTTTCACGTTTAAGCCCTACCCTTACCCTAGGGCTTAGAAATCAGTGCCCTAGCCCGGCCTTCCCGTGGGTACCCATGGGCTTACCCGGCCCATGCGGAGGCCTAGTAACAATAATTGGATTTCATTGTAGCTAGATTAATAGCTTAAATATGTTATGACATATAGTAAAATTGATCAAAAAATTGATTGTTAGCATGGAAGTTTGTTTTATAAATCATAATTTTAATGTTACTGTGTTTAGATTTAAATTTTTGAAGTTTAACCACAGATCGATAGATTTCGCAAAATTGAACCTTTTCGCTAGTCCCTAGATCTAATAAATAATAGTCAACTCTGCGGTAACGATCCTTTAAACGATAATTATGTACAGTAGATAGTTTACTAAATTTTCTTTATTAAATAAATTTAATATATATTTTATTTTTATTTGTTAATATCAATAATAAATGTCGGATGATGATGAAATTTAGGGTTTCTATTTTAAAATATAAATTCTACTAAAACCCACCTATACTCTTTAATTATAAACTCTAACCTTAAATCCTAATCCAACTATAAAAAAAATCTAGAAAATACACCCCAAAAAAATTTTAAAATTTCATATTAAAATAAGTTCAAATTTCGGCATTATCCCCGACAATAAATACTTTAAATATACAAAATCTATAATACTGTATACAATATATAGTTAAACTTTATTATATTATTTTAATATAGTTACAACCTTGATATAATTACAGTATATACTGTATACGTATTGTTTTTAATTATAACAATTATAAAATGTATACAGTATAGTATATACAGTATATACAGTATATATTAACTTTTTCTGTAGTTACAACTTTATAATTACTAAATTCTTGGTTTTTAATTTAATAATTATATTAAGATTTGCTACAATATACTATTAAAAATAATATTAATAAAAAATTTAAATAGATAATTTAGTTTGCTTTTTAAATATATACTATATACTTTAAATTATAATTTACTGTATATTAAAAAAAGAATGCTAATTAAAAAAATTTTTTTTTAATACAGTATATAACTTATATAGTATATATATATATACAATATGAATTTTAATATAGTTTTTTAAATTTTTTTTTTTTTACGTAACAAATTTACTAAAATGCTGAACGCTATTTCTCAAAAACGTACTAAGTAAACGGGATTGGGTATTCTAAGTAAAATGTTCATGACCCCTGAAAACCTGAAATCGGGACCTTATATCTAATCTATATACATTATATTATATAAAACTCCTTTATCCTAAACTAAATTTTATTAATAAAAATTATATATATATTTTATAATTTTTATTTTTCAATACTAAACAGTATCTCAAAATTTTATTAAAAAACCAACTTATAGTATTTTAATAACACAATGCTAATTTTATACAGTAATATATATACTTTGGTAAACATACCTTGTAAATTTTAGTTATCACTATAATAAATATTCCGATTTTAGCATAGCCAATTTTGGCATAAGCTAATTTTAGCATAACGTACGTACCAAATTGAATGCAAAAAATAACTTATTTATAAGTGCAAATACATACATATGTATAATATATCACTATTCCCTATAATTAGAGAACAAATTATCATGAGTTATCGATTTTGAGAGAGAAAAGAATTGCATATACTGTATATATATTTGCAATTATATAAACTTTTAAATAAAAAGCTTTTGAAATCTCATATATGAAAATGTTTGATGCGACTAGACCGCTCATATCATATAATCGAATATTAATAAAATTTGTAGTTTATTTAATTCAAAAAAACAACCAAATATTACAAAAAGTTACAAAAAGTCCATATTCAAGCCAATCTTTTAGGCTTTAAATGTTTAGAGGATTTGATGGTAGCAGTTTTAGCATTTTGAATATCATAACTAGTCTTTGGATAAACTTTCTGACGAACATCCGACTTTGTCTTTATAACATGTGAGCTATCTGACGACTTGGTAGTATTTTTCTTAGCAACGACTCTGTTTGAGGCGGTTGTCACTGGTATTGGGGTCCGTGATGCGGCTAATGCAGCGGACTTTGTGATGCGAGAACTCTCAGGAACGGCAGCAGATCTTATTGGCCCAGTACGACTGCCTGAATCCATGTGAGACCGCCGAGAGGGTACAGAATTTGTGATGCGAGAGTTTACAGAAGAGTAATAATTATTATTCGGTACAACGGAATTACCTTTCCTTTGAGAGGTAACAGCACCAACAGTAGGATATGGTTCATGACGTAAATTATTTTTTAAACCAATTTGATCACTTCTCGGCCTAATCGTACTCGACTCTTGTTGTTTAAAAGCTGGTCGATAATAATCATTCTTTTCATGACTTCGTCGCAGCTTCTGAAGAGGTGTCATTTTTTGCCAACCTAAAACGGAAATGATCCCGATTAGTTACATCGATTTAAAATAACTTAACGAAATAAAAAAAATGACCAAAGTTTTACCCGATGACCTCCTCTTTCTGTATTTGAAATCGGATAAAATAGTTTAGCACATGAGACATATAAATAGGAATTATAGACATGTGTAATAGTATTTCACCTAGATGGATCATGTAAACCGGGTAGAATTTTTATTTTCTTTTCTTCTTTTTGTTTATCGTGTTGTTTCTTAGATTGCCGCAATTTTTCAAGAGCACTAGCTAATCTTTCCGCTTGTTCTTCTTTTGATCTCTATAACAAGAAAAGGAACATTAATTAATGATATTAAATTTCACTAACATTTGATTAAACAAGTTATTACCCAATAAAGCTGACGCCAATCTTCATTATCGGAGTCAATAACGCTTCTTGAGGAGTTTGGATGAGCACGGATATAATGATCCTTCCACAATTCCATGTCCTCATCCATGAGGTGCGGATTTGCTTCTTCTAAATTCCTTAATTCATCCGGTGTACAATGTCGAAGGACTCGTTTTAACAAATAATAAGGCGCCTTACCCACTTTATATAGAACTACGTAATTTTGAAATTTTATTTTTAAATGATTATATGAGACCGCTTAAAACTTTCACAGGATATATATATGTACAAGACTTACGATGCTTATGGGAAATTAATTTCTTATAACAAAGTTGAAGGAGTCTCGGAACTCCTTTTTTCGTAACCGCACGACTTAAAGCTGACGTTGAAGACATGTCTATTGCAAGGTATTTCGTAATATGATTAGCTGTAAACCAATTATAGCATATATTAAATGGGTTCTTAAAAAGATAAAAAAGTCATTTACCTTATAAGAGAAATAATAATAATTATAAATTAAAAATTTTATATATAATCTATATGACTGGTGCTATCAAAAAAGAAGCGAATTACGCGAACACAGCATACTGGAACGACAGAATTAAAAACTTTAAATATTGCGTACAAAATACTCGCAGTATTGCAATGAAACGAAAAAAAAGAGGTACAATAGCACACCTATGCCGCGTAAATTTGAAAGCGAAGAAGCTTTAGACGTGAAAGAGAACAATATAGCAAGAATAAGCGACTTTCAAGTGTATAATTTGAATAAAAATAATAGAATAAGTAGTCTTTTAAATATAAACATAAATAAATGTAACGATGTAAGTCATATTTTAATGGTTATTTTAAAAAAAGTAAAACGTGTTCAAGAATACTCTAAACCAAAAAAATATAGAATTCGAGTTTTATGGCTGTACGGAACATATCGAGGTTGACAATGATAGCCAGAATTTTATAATAAAATCTGTCATCGTGTAACGATGCACTGAAACTTCCTTACAATTTAAATAGGTTTGCTTCCGTAATCTGCTTTATAAGACGCCTTTATCGCTATTAATAACGATAATAAATCCGTACTTATCGTTATTTATTGCCTAAAGCCAATTTTCACGTATTACATACATTTATCCCACATGGGACTAAGCCCAGCTTATTCTATTGCTATATGCAGTTGTGGCACTGTAAACCCGCACTCTTTCAATGGAGAACAAAGTTATAGTCTAGTTTATACCTGACTGAAGATTGACTGAAAATTTATGCACTTTGACAGCATTTTTTGTATCACGATTTAATGTTTTTAACAAAAAGAGCTGAGGTGCATAATAACGTAATTGTCCAGAGCAAAGGTAAAAGTGTAAAAAAAAAAAAAGACAAAAAGAAGCTAGTCTTTTGTCGCTTAAAAGTTCCAAACGCTTTTAAATGGACATGAGCCAGACATAATTTAGGTACACTACATAAATATACACGTATGTGCTTCTTCCCAGGCATTTTCGTGGTCAATAAAGTTCCCAGTAACACTTGTGCCCACGGCCGTGCGTAGACACGGCACAGGCACTAGTGTATGGCATGACGTAGAAGTGGTGTTCCGGCGTGAGCAATCAAGCGCTTACCTTACCAGTCTTAGCGAGTACGGTCTTATCTTTAAGAGTTTTATATCGCAGATTTATTACTATGAGCACAAGTATTTATTAATATGTTCGCTTTATTTATATATATATATTATGAGTGACGGAAAAGATAAAACCTGTAAATCATTTCACTTACTATCGTTATACCCCTGAGGCAAGGTTGTTAAATTGTGGCTGATTAGACCTATTAGACATATAAAAAAAGCATTTAGACATTTTAAGCCTAATGACTTTTTTTATTGGACATTGGTTAATAACAACCTTGCCCTGAGGAGTTCTTAAGGGTACAGTATATATAATTTACTGATAATGAAATGATTTACAGGTTCTTTCTTTTCGTCACTCATATACTGTATGATATTATTAGTCCGGAATGAAGTTTCTTCTCTACGTTCGCAATGTTCGTCTGTCCGTACACCTAAAATTCTGATTTTGATATATTATTAATACTAAGTACTGTAAACAGACTCTAATATCCGAAGCATTTTGTTATACGTTTTGATTATGTGAACAACCCCCATTTTGTTACAAAATTATCTATTGTAAGCAAATTTAGAAAGAAATTACTTGTATAGTTGCAAATAAAGATTTTTTATGATTGTACAAGTATAATTTTCTAATGTTAAGATAAGGTCCAGAGCCAGTGGTCATTAGAAGCAAAATTAGCTAGCGAAATTAGCTAGTAAAATTTGCAAAATTATCAAAATAGCTTATTACAAAATTTATATTTGTCAAATATAAATTTTAACATACTCTTTGATATGTTTTTAATTGTCCAGAGCGTAGCGAAGGACATATATTGGACGAGTAAAGTGCATCAAAAGTTACGTTTTTGATGCATCAAAAGTTACGATGTTGATGCATCATAGTGATAAAAATCAAGAACATAACTTTGAAAAGGATGTCTGTCCACACGCAGACTAAAGTTACGTTTTTGACGCATGACTATATTCGATAATTTATTTGCTCCAGACTTACAACAGTTTTTTAAAACTGTTCCCTAGTGAAGATCAAGTCAGAAACATAAGTTGGAAATTTTTTGTCCGTCCACACGTGTGTTTAAATTTGTCAATTTAATGTAACAAAACATGCATATTCACGTGTCTGTGTATAATGAGATAATTATATAATAAACCATTAACCTACATAATAAGTATTGTGGCTGATACTGAAATTGAAATTTGAAACTATTTTTATATGAAATTTGAAATTTTTTTTGTTTTTTCTGCTCTTTTTTAGAGTTAGGGTTAGATTTGATATTTAATTGCTAATCCAGATAAGATCAGCCAATTTCTATAGGGCAAAATTCCTATGATATTAACTATATGCTAGAATCTGGACAGAATTGAATGAAAATTATTATTTTTTTATTAAGTTAACAACCAAAGTCAATTAATTAAAAGTTGTAGAGCTCATTAAGATGTATTTAATGGTGGTTAGATTATCCAAATTGATCCAGTGAATACTGAGATATTATAAAATTTCTATATAAACAATACTTTGTTTACATAGAATTTTATATAGTTGGCCAATCATTTTTTAGTAATATCTCTCAGTGAGCTCTACAACTTTAAATTAATTGTCTTTGGTTGTTAGCTTAATAAAAAATACTTTTCATTTGACTCTGCTCAGATTCTAGCATATAATAAAAATTTATATTGTATTTATCCTCAAAATTTACTATTGTTTCAATATAGTAATTATGCTAAACTTATCTGAATTATCAATTAAAGAGTATAGGTAGATTTCAGAGAGACCATCTCTAATTAGAAAATCATTCTGAATAATTACACAAGTGTTAAAAAAAATCTTTTTATACAATTTACAATATCTTTTTAGAAAGTTTGAGTAATTTAATCCTTCTAAGAAATATAAACAAGTGTACTAAGCAAACTTGAAACCTTTATATCATACTATAATATATTTTTTTAATCTATTTTAATCTAATAGCCTTTGTGTTTAATTCACCTGACAAAATCATGTTTGAAATCAAGCAATATAAACAATATAGAACCTTTGAATTGACAAAATTCTATCTATTGAAAGATGAAAAATAGAAAAAAGCTAAAAGAAATAACTTAATCAAGAATACATAAAATAAAAGTATTATTTTATATAATTTATATTATATGAAATTATTAACCATAAAAAAAAAAACATTCTGTCTTTTTTAAAAAGTAAAAAGATAGAAAAACATTGATAACAAGCCA